TCCGCAGCAGAGCGCAGCTGCGGACTAGTCAGGCATCGCGTGACCGTGGCTTGAATGCTGTACAAGAAATTGCTGCTATTTTGACAAACGTGTAATTTCATTACTAATTACGGCAATTGACCGTGGTAAATGTGAAGCACGTCAATAATTTAACACGGAAACCAAATAATGCTTGCTTACTGGCTAATGATTGCCGAGTACACAGTCAGCTGGAAGGTCACTCTTATATGAAAATCATAAAAATTAAACTACCATTTCCACATAAATCTGGGTAGTAAGAATGAAATGAATGTAACCATTTGGAATGGTTTTAAGAATGGAATTCCACAATAATTCATGCATGGAACAAACTATTGCTAAATCAGCTATATTATTGGCGATGCTATTTACTTCTTCTAAATAGCCACGAGACCACGGTGCGCAAAAAAATATATGTTGCAAAAAGATTCCCGATGTCGTGAAGCCACACCATACTTTGCAGCAGGCAGGGTGAAGTGGTCGTTCATGAATAATAAAATCTTGCTATTTTGGAATTAACATGTCCATAGAGGTTATGAAATGCTCTAAGGAGGAAAACTTGAAGGATAGAGGCACGATGCTCGGCAAAATAAAATTTTTATATGACGCTATACCGTACTTCTCCCTGCAGGAGGGATGATGTTCCCGTGTTAATTTAACGGATTATTTACTCGAATTTTGACAATCCTTCCGGAACACTCGTGTATTAACAATGCTGATACGATGTCAACTTTGTTCAATATTCTTTAAAATTCTCGATGGACACAATTTCTTTCTTATTTGCAATGTTTTTCTAAAGTTGTCAACAAATTTTCGCTGCTAATGAACCACCTTGGAGAAATTTTTTTCGACGGTAATACTAGATTAAGCGATTGCATTTGATCGATAAAATAGCTTTAGTTCAGGTTATATAATTGAGCAAATTGTTTTCTTTAAATAAATATTCGTTAAAATTAAAACAAACTCCCACCAATATGTCATAGTTTCCCTATAGGAAAAATTCAGGTATAGGTTCCCATCAAGGCAACCCTCCAGAGAAAGTTCAATCAAACGAGCAGACCGGCATTGGCAAATGATGAATTTGTCACAGCAGATAACTCGAAGAAGAAAACGACAGATCGTGTTGAGAGTGATGGTGTAATACTCGTATTGTTGTAAGCTCTTTCTTAATTATTCACATTTTTTTCGAGTTGCAAACCACGTAAAAAAAGAAGATAAAAGACGAAACAGTCTTGAGAGACCGGAACTGCCTAGCGCGGATCCGAGTCCGTTAAAAAAAATGGTAATTAAGCTTGCGCCACAACACGAGCAGCAAGACGCACATATGGCCCAGGTATGGGGGAAATACCGACCAGGCCAAGTCGGATATTACAACAATACAGCCAAATCTTTATTAAAATAAGAAGAACATTAACCGAAATTCTTCGAAACATAAAAATCATTAAAAGTTAGATAATATTTACAGCAAGGCTTCGAAACATGGAAAGCCATACAAGATTTTCGCCATACAAAATTTTTCGTTGATAAAATCGGAATGACTACAAGCTGGTAGATGAACGCGATTGTGGTCTCGATAATAATTTGATGCAGGATGGAGGCAAATGTCTCTCCAGGCAAGTGCGGTTTAAACAACTTTGGTTACTAGTTAATTTCGATGAAACGTTTAATTAACGATATTTCACCGTCATATGCCTTGTTGTACACTGGCTCGCAAATCCCAGCTGCAGCAACAGCACTAAGACAATCTGACATTAATTGTTAAGTTGTCCACCAAACATAAGACATCGCCTGAACATAGGATCCATTGCAGCTAACATTAAGCGCACCCGTAGGTCAGTTTTATGCTCTACCCATCAATTTAGTTTTGTGGATATTGCAAAGACCCAATATCCGTAACACGTCAGAGAAGCCAATATACAGTAAGCGCAGTCACTGCAATATCCACCACCACACGCACGCGGGCCAGTATCCAGTATCCACCACTCGTTCGGCAAAGATAATAGTCACTCACAGCAATCACTGCAATATCCACCACACGTTCGTAGGACAATATCCACTGCCGGTCATCACAGCATTTTCCAACCCACGTTTGGAACAAATAATATCTACTAACAGAGATCGATGCAATATCCACCGCACGTTCGTAGGACAATATCCACAACAGGAAATCACTGCAATATCCACCACACGTTCGTAGGACAATATCCACTACAGGAAATCACTGCAATATACACCCCCTCATTCGTAAGACAATATCCACCAACAGCTATCACTGCACTATCCACCACTAGTTCGTAGGACAATATCCACCAACAGCTATCACTGCACTATCCACCACTAGTTCGTAGGACGATATCCAACAACAGCTATCACTGCACTATCCACCACTAGTTCGTAGGACAATATCCACTACAGGAAATCACTGCAATATACACCCCTCATTCGTAAGACAATATCCACCAACAGCTATCACTGCAATATCCACGACACTTGACGCGCGACATGCCACACCGCGCCACCCAAGCAGCAGCGCCCACCCACGCAGCCCGCCAGCCGATGGCCCGGGGGCGGACATTCAAATTAATAAGGCCACAACAAATGATATGCTAGGCGAGAACCCTCGCCCCGGGCTGGACCAGACGTAGTTCTTGTAGAAATACAATGAGCAGCAGCCGCATATGCTTCTCTAAGCACGTAGTTGGTGGGCCAGTGTTTGCACATGAGTGGCATTGAAAGGCGGGAGGATATATATGGGACATACGGGATGGTTGGTTGGTTTAGTGGCCAAATGTTTACTAGCGCTTCAGCTATTTAGCTGTCTCGCACCGAAAGTCAAGATGAACATCACCATAGAGGTGGAAGGTAATAGAATGTTTTTCAAGTCAACAATTGTTCATCACCCACAAGAGGCAGAAGGTCTCAATTGTCCAGCCTGCTCAAGCTGGCTCGAAAGAAGCAGCGTTAGCATCTCAAGAGACGAAGTGACAACTTGCACGGGACGTCGGCCGCCCGCACAGACAGAGAAGGGAAATGTAAGGAATCATACCTACATAATAACTTAATGTACGGAATCCTACCTACATAATAACTTGACTTCACAACTGAGACCTGCATTTAAGACACCGCGAGCTCAGCGGTGGGGCGGTCAGGAAATATCCCCTAAGAGCGCCAAATCCCATAGGTCTTCTGACGAGCGCAGACACGTCAGAAATATATACAGGACATACGGGATAATATATACAGGACATACGGGACCACTTCTACGTCCTCTATACTGTTTACCAATCCTCTCTACTACGGTACACTTACACAGCCGCTCTATTATATCTCTATATACTGCACTTGCAAATCCTGTATATTAGTGCTTCCCAAAGTGGGCGATATCGCCTCCCTGCGGGCGGTGGATAGATCTGGAGGGGCGGTGAGGGATAAACGGGCAGTAGGGGGGCGGCAGTCCGCGAAGTCGAAGTCAGAAGTTCGTACGTTGGTTTGACGATTATTCACAACACGTGCAGAACATGACTCCGACTCGAATAAATTTTCACGAGCTAAAAATCATCGTTTGATAGTTAGGAATTTATAAAAAATTTCGTTCGAATATGTTCAGTAGTTTGGAAGAAATTCTTCGATAACTGCGAATCTCGGCCCGTATCGCCATATAACTTCCGAATGAAGGTGAAATTTAAAAATTTTTTCACGCGCTAAACATCACTGTTTAGTCAAGTCCTAATGAATACGTGTTCGAAGTTTTATCGAGCGGCGTTCATTAGTTTGGGAGATATTAGTTGCTCACTGAATTTGGAGATTGGCCGTGAGACCGGCTGCGAGACCGGCCACGAGTCCGGCCGTAAATTTGTCCGAGCGTCTTGAATTTCTAGTGCTGAAACAGTTAAAACTGTAAAAATATATATTGGTTCACTAAATGTGGTTCTATTTGTGAAATACACATTTGTGTTTAACCTTTCTCTTTTACAATTACACCATACTAAATATCAAGAAAGGGGTGTTTGTTTTTATATGTGTCTGTGGGGGAGGGTGGGGGGCGCTAGAGATTCACTGGGGAGCCAAGGGGGCGCCAGCCTTGAAAAAGTTAGGAACCATTGCTCTATAATTCCGGATCCATTGTACAAAACTTCCACATCCTCCTCCACACCTCACCTTGTGTAGCGAGACTGGTTAGGGATTTGATGAATAGAAAACGGCCCGCTCGCGTAAAAGAAAACGCATTTGAAGTCTAATCTCTCACTTGACTTGGCCACAGTTCAACATGGCGCACGCCTAATAAAAGCTAATAAATAATGTTATCGTCTCCGCGTTTACTGTGATATGTTACACGAAGAATGATGAATTAGTTAAATACTCTTTGTTCCCGTAGGGAAAGAAATAAGTTAACGCTGACCGAAGTATCTTGGGAGGTTTTCGATGACTACGTTTTAATTAACTAAGCTGAGCGCGAATTTTGCCGCACTACAACAAACTCCGGAGAGAATCGCTTTGGTGAGTATAATTTCACCTGCACTTCTGAATAGAATTTTACAATACATTCAAAACTATTGCTTGCTAAATCAGCTATACTATTGGTGTTGCTATTTAGCTTTTCTAAATAGAAATATAGATCGAAGCGGCCACGGTGCGCAAAAATATTCAAAAATTATCTGCACTGAATTACGAGTACAATACTCACGGCGTGCAGATAGCAGGAGAATGAGCGAGTATGCAGGTTGGTACTCACCTGCGAGGAAAAAACAGAACACGCGCTTCAGAACAGAAGTCCAAACCAATAATATATTGATGGCCATTTGTGCCATCAATATTAATGGCATCAATACTATCAATTTTTTCCATCAATATTATTATTATAAAAAATGTCAATTAATCAAATTTTTAGTTGGCATTTTTGCATTTAAAAAATTATGAAAAAATTACAAATTTTATGAAATACTACGGGCATAATTAAAAATTATAAGCTACATGAAACCCACCCTTGTGGCGACGATGCTTAGCCCCATGCCGGGGCTGGTCTTGGTAAGATGTAGGGTCTGCACCTCAGGCTCCCCACGTGGCAGTGTCAGCGACCTGCCGGACATCACGCTGGGGCTGCGCGCCTGCTGTACAACACACCTCAACTTACTGCTTGGGCTAGTGTACCTTTATCTTATTCATGGTATACGGTATATAATAAGTATTCTGCGTTTATATGTTCTTTGTACAACACACCTCAACTTACTGCTTGAGCTAGTGCATCTTTATCTTATTCATGGTATACGATATATAATAAGTATTCTGCGTTTATATGTTCTTTGTACAACACACCTCAACTTACTGCTTGAGCTAGTGCATCTTTATCTTATTCATGGTATACGATATATAATAAGTATTCTGCGTTTATATGTTCTTTGTACAACACACCTCAACTTACTGCTTGTGCTAGTGCACCTTAATCTTATTCATGGTATACGGTATATACTAAGGATTCTGCGTGTATATGTTCTTTGTACAGCACACTGTTGTTAGCGCACCAGTTTTATAAACGCACTCGTTCATTTACGTTCATCAAGTAAACATTTTAGAATAAAGTATTCGAAAAATTTCAAATTTAAAGTAAATATTCGTGCTTAAAGATGCAATGATAAAAACAGATGCACATAACAGATATATCATCTATATGCATGCATAAATCGATGTATACATGGAGTTTGAGGCCAATCAATTTTCTGCGTTTTGTAGGTCGTATTGTATGAGTAGGTCGTATTGTATGAGTAGGTCGTACTGTATGAGTAGGTCGTATTGTATGAGTAGGTCGTATTGTATGAGTAGATCGTATTGTAAGAGTAGGTCGTATTGTATGAGTAGATCGTATTGTGTGAGTAGGTCGTATTGTATGAGTAGGTTGCACTTGCTAACTCACGCCCCAAGACTACACTGGCAACCCAGACACGTTATTTAATTATTAGTTGCTAATTAGTTTCAATTATTCAATGAAATAACTCGATGCTAAACAATCACACAACTCACGCCAGGGTGCATAGACATCCTGGAGTCGTGGTCTGTCATGTAGATGGTCCAGTAGCCGGAGGAGGTTGGCTGAGGGTTCATACGACACAGCCCTGCGTGCTGCAGAGGACCCAAGAACTCTGCCAGCCCTGACGGCACGCCCCTGACGATGTCGCAGGAATACCCGTCCTCGGGCAGCAGGAAGGGCAGCTGCAGGTCGTAGTCCTCCTCCAGACGAACCTCGCGCCCGTCCTCCCGCGCCAGACCGTCCGCCGTGCTCTCAGCCACCTGCCAACGCCGGCGTCGATGATTAAATTTTGACTTTTCAGATTTCAAACAGAAAGTTTCAGCATTAAAAACAATTTAAAAAAAAGGAAATAACGTTCAGTAAGTTGATTCTTCTTTACTGATTATTGAGGTTAGGCGCATGTTCTGAATTTCAATCGGGATCAACTCGAGCAGCGTAGACTGCTGGCGATGCTGCTAAAAAATTTGTTGCTAATCGAAATTTCGCATTTTGTTTCCCAACAACTGAAACCTTATCTACTATTTCCTCCAATGTAACTCTTAACACGTAAACTCTCGTCTCCGGTGAGTCTTAAGGCTTCTCAAGTTTTTCGTCTAAGTAATGTTGATTTTTCCAAACGCACAACTACCGCATTCAACAAATTGAACTTCCACGTTCAGCTCAGCCCCCGAAACTCACGGCGACGACGCTTTCTTTGAGTCCCAGGGGCACCGGCGGCTCGCCAGGCTCAGGCTCGTATTTGTCGAGCAGCGCTCGTAACTGCAGCGAGTTGAGTTTAAAGCAGCTCGACGAGATGCTCGTTATGTCTTCAGGCGAACTCTATTAGGAGAAGAGACGTGCGTAAGGAAATAACTCAAAGTTCACAGAGCCAATAAATTAACCTCATCATCTTGGGGCAATTCAAGGTTGAAAAAAATATAACGTGAACATTCGATAATTTCATTTAGTATGCAAAAGAGCGGTAAGAATTCAGACTCGAAGAATCAATGATCCCACCTTGGGGGCGGTGAGCAGGATGGCGGCCTGGGACAGCCTGGCGAGGTGGCAGTCAGCTGCAAGCTCCAGTCCCTGCTTCTCTGCCCACACCTCGATACGGGACAACCGCACCCTCACACGGGACCCCCAGAGTCTGGCGGGACACAAAAACATGTAACAACACAGTCCCACTTAGATACGGGACAACCGCACTCGCACGCGGGACCCCCAGAGTCTGGCGGGACACAAGAACATATGACAACACAGTCCCACTTAGATACGGGACAACCGCACCCTCACACGGGACCCCCAGAGTCTGACGGGACACAAGAACATGTAACAACACAGTCCCACTTAGATACGGGACAACCGCACCCGCACGCGGGACCCCCAGAGTCTGGCGGGACACAAGAACATATGACAACACAGTCCCATCGGGACAACCGCACCCGCACGCGGGACCCCCAGAATCTGGCGGGACACAAGAACATGTAACAATACAGTCCCACTTAGATACGGGACAACCGCACTCGCACGCGGGACCCATAGTGTCTGGCGGGACACAAGAAATTTTACATTCACTACTCATTGTTATACAACGGTTCACTGACCATCAATAAAATAGAGAAAAAGGATGAGATAGTAAGCCTGAAATCGCTATTTGAAACTTCAATAAGAAAAGTAAACCAGATAAAGCGGGCAAGTTGTACATGAAACTAGCACTGTGCCCAACTTAATAAGCCGCAGTACGTAATGCCGAACACAAGCCTTGTTCTAGAGCACCTGGCAGAGTACCATTGCACTAGTGCAGTACCTGGGGTAGCAGCACTAGTACCTGGTGCAGTAGTTGGGGTAGGAGGAGGCTATGATGCGGTGGTAGCACTAGTACCTGGTGCAGTAGTTGGGGTAGGACGAGGCTATGATGCGGTTGAAGCCCTAGTACCTGGTGCAGTAGTTGTGGCAGCACTAGTACCTGGTGCAGTAGTTGGGGTAGGAGGAGGCTATGATGCGGTTGAAGCCCTAGTACCTGGTGCAGTAGTTGGGGTAGGAGGAGGCTATGATGCGGTTGAAGCCCCACATGTTGAGGAAGTGGAAGAGCACTAGCCCTAGTACCTGGTGCAGTAGTTGGGGTAGCACTAGTACCTGGTGCAGTAGTTGGGGTAGGAGGAGGCTATGATGCGGTTGAAGCCCCACATGTTGAGGAAGTGGAAGAGCTGCGAGAAGAGCTGGATGGTGAGCGCCGCGTTCACGCGACACCGACGCAGCAGAGCCATCGTGTTCGTCAGGATTGACAGAACCTGAGGTCGTGAATTATTATTTTATTATATAAAATAATAATTTGTATAAATATTATATAAAATTACTCGTTCCTCATGAACGAGTAATTTGAGGATTTGTTAAAATGATGACGAGCTACGAATTCATTGATAACCGAAAAACTCGATGATATTAATAGTGAAATTGATGTAATAAAATCGGAGGTACCGTGTGAAAAAGAACTCATTAAACTATGTAAATGCATCGATGCCCGCGTGAATAAGGTAACGAACTACAGAATCACAAAATTAAATCAAGACTATAACTGAAAAAAATACAGAAACGAAAAAGATGTTTTTTTTTCAAAAAAAAAAAACGTACCAACGTCAATAAAAGTTCAGTGATTATAATTAATTCCCCATCATCATCAAAAGTCATCATCATACCCACAATACAATTATAGGGATATATAAAAACGAAACGAAGAGATTATCAAGTATTCCTTTGTTGCGGTACATGGTCACAGCTACATCAGAATGAATGATGTATATGTGACCTACATGAAAATATGGTCACATATACATCAGAACATGCTCAACATGACCACCACAACACGACCACCACAACATGCACAACATGACCACCACTCCATGCACAACATGAGCACCACAACATGCACAACATGACCACATGACACCAACATGTGCAGTGCAGCCCTCCTCCTCGTCCGAGTCGTCGCGGTCCTCCAGCAGCAGCGGCAGCGCCGCCTCCATCTCCGTCTGCATGCTCCCCACCAGCGACCTGACAACGCGTCCATCCATTAAATATAACTAAATACACTTGTAATAAATCATTCATTTTAATTAGTATTTATTTTGATAATCAATTTTAATATTAATTGAATTTATCTAATAAATATTTTATTTACTATTTTAATCAATGATAATGAATACAAGTAATCAAATTGTCGTTTCTGTTAAGCTTTTATTGCTGTAGAAAGAATGAAGTAGACATGAAAATTACTGGACATCATTTATGTGAAATAAATTCTGTGAGGGCATGAGGCACCTGAAGGCGAGCTGGACGACGTCGGCCAGTCTGTCCTGGGCGTCCAGGGAGTAGCCAGCGATGTGTCGGTCCTGCTTGAGGAAGTGCAGCAGCTCTGACGTGTTCGCCAGCCAGAACGCCAGCCATACCGGCTGACCGGGCCGACTCTGATGACGTAATAACACGTTAGTGTCAACAAAAGATTCAAAACAAACGAAAAATATAATACCTATACAAATATACCTTTACTGTGCAAGGAATAAGCATGTGACGAAGCGCTCATTGGTACCAGATCGGCTCTGGTCCAGGAATAAGCTGTCAGGATCACGCAAGAAGAAAATACAGGAAAAGACACAAAGTAACTGAAAACATACATACAGACTGAAAGTAACTATATACAGTGGGGGGAAATAAATATTCGTACACTTGAAAAATCGTATTTTAATGTATGTAAGTACACAAACTTAACAGGAAAAATGATTTAAATTATGTATAGAGACGCATAGTATTCAAAAATACTATCAAAAGAAATTAAATCTCAATGCAACAAAAAACAATGCAACATAATCACTTTTCCTGTTAAGTTTGTGTACTTACATACATTAAAATACGATTTTTCAAGTGTACGAATATTTATTTCCCCCCACTGTATATGCAGGTGCAACATAACTTATGCAGCTGTTTATCATTACATGAAAACTTATACATATATATACAGCGTCCAGCACAGTCGTTGACGGGGCACATGTACAATGTTATACAGCATTACCTGTATAATATTCACTGTACAATATTATACAGCATTACCTGTACGGTGCTGTGCAGCAGTGCTGCCACTCTGCTCAGCATGGCAGTCAGTCGCTGCGCACGCTCCATGGGCGACAATTCACTGCGGTAATGCGTTGACGCTCTACAAGAAAACATATTATTGAATTTTTGTACACGGAAGGATTCACATTAAAGTATTTAGAAACTAACAATAGCGGTCTCAGTACGCACTACCCAAAATGAATAAATATTTTACTACTAATCCCCGCCGTTACAGCAGCTGCATTTCAGAAGACGCCTATAATGACTCAAAATAAAGACAATTGATGACGGAATTGACACGGCAATGACGTTAAGTCAATCCAAGCGTAGTCGAAGACGAGCGTTAGTCAGATAAGTCATGATGGCTAACCTGAACCTAGCAGCCATGTAGATGGTGTAGAACAGACGTCATATTGGCAGAGTATTGAGCATGTCTAACCTGAACCTAGCAGCCATGTAGATGGTGTACGGACAGACGTCATATTAGCTGAGTATTGAGCATGTCTAACCTGAACCTAGCAGCCATGTAGATGGTGTACGGACAGACGTCATATTAGCTGAGTATTGAGCATGTCTAACCTGAACCTAGCAGCCATGTAGATGGTGTAGGTGGGTGCCAGCTTGAACTGGACGTGTGTGGGGTCGAGGGCGGTGGTGATGGAGTGGAAGAAGCTTTCCTCGGTGTCCTCTCTGAACTCCAGCACCGCCGGCAAGATGGGGTCCCGGGTAACAGGGTAGCGGTCGTATGGAGCCCCTCTGTGTGAAACAAATTTTTCTGTTTATAGGGAAGCTAAAGCAGGCATACTGAGCGTAAAAACTAGCGAGTTATTGGCTAAAAAAAATCCCTAAGATAACGGCAGTAACTTTGGAGCTCAGAAAATAAATAATGAGAATGTCGCGGTTTCCAAGTTGTCCGTACTTGATTCCGTACATAAATAATATAATAAGTTTCAAGTAATGATGTAAAACAATGAATAGTTATAAACTTTACTGTTACTTTAGGGTAAAAGGAATGAAATTGACCTACGGACAATGTAAACAGTAATAATATGAGCAAAATAATACTTTAAACTCAATGCCTAATTGATGAACTTGGAATTAGAAAGATAGCAAAAAATTCCAACAAAATGAAAAGAATGAATTGTCACGTTAGCTTATAACATAAAACAAATTACGCGATTTTTACAACGGCCGTCAATCGAAAAAAATGTGTAAGCAGTTATACAGCAAATGAAGTGAAGAATGCTTCTAAGCAACATCACAACGTCAGTCATGCAGGAAGAAGGTGATTTTTATAACTAAAATATGCTGGCCGTTAAACAAGTCACTGCTTTTTAAAAAGTTAAGGGCCTTCCCAGGAGAGTTAAAGCTAACACTCAAAACTTATTAAGCTTTTGCATTTAGACAAACTTGGAAAGCTGTTCAGACATACCTGTTCTTGAGGAAGACCAAACACACAACTTGTGTCTGATTGTGCATAATACACGTCTTGGATCCAAGAGCAGCCGACACATACCTGAGATCTGAGAGCAACACCTGCGTTACTGAGAGCAACCGAGACACACCTGGGCTTCTGAGAGCAACTGAGACACACCTGGGTTTCTGAGAGCAACCGAGACACACCTGAGTTTCTGAGAGCCACCGAGACACACCTGGGTTTCTGAGAACCACCGAGACACACCTGGGCTTCTGAGAGCAACCGAGACACACTTGGGTTTCTGAGAGCAACCGAGACACACCTGGGCTTCTGAGAGCAACCGAGACACACCTTGGTCTCTAAGAGCAACCGAGACACACCTGGGCTTCTGAGAGCCACCGAGACACACCTGGGTTTCTGAGAGCAACCGAGACACACCTGGGTTTCTGAGAGCCACCGAGACACACCTGGGTTTCTGAGAGCCACCGAGACACACCTGGCGCTCTGAGAGCCACCGATACACACTTGCGTTACTGAGAGCCACCGAGACACACCTGGGTTTTTGAGAGCCACCGAGACACACCTGGGTCTCTGAGAGCAACCGAGACACACCTGGGTTTCTGAGAGCCACCGAGACACACTTGGGTTTCTGAGAGTCACCGAGACACACCTGGGTTTCTGAGAGCCACACCTGGGTTTCTGAGAGCCACCGAGACACACTTGGGTTTCTGAGAGTCACCGAGACACACCTGGGTTTCTGAGAGCCACCGAGACACACTTGGGTTTCTGAGAGTCACCGAGACACACCTGGGTTTCTGAGAGCCGCTTAGAGAGCCATCAGTGGAGGTACCAGAAATTGTAGTGGAGTCGGTGGGGGTGGGCGGCTCTTGGCTGGAGGAGGGGCGTCTGTACACGTGCAAGGGAAGGAGTAAAGGAAATATATTGAAGAAATGTTAAGATATTCGCACTGCAAGGTTTGCTGATGCTGGCATGGGGCAAGAGGTCTCCACCAGTAAAGGGTTAAAACTAGTAAAGAATTTGTACAGAAACAAAAAAATTGAACGAAGTAAAGTAAACGGTATAAAGAGTGCAACACAATATGCATTGGTGCGAATTAGTGCAACACAACAATAATTGTGCAGCTATGTGTTACTTGCGGTTGGTGCTGTTACTAGCCAGCAAGATAACTATTTATATAAGCACATATTACTTTCACTAGCGGACGTCACGAGTGCGAAAATGTTTGACGGTTAACTGTGCAACATTAGCACTATGTTACAAAATGTTAACAGTGAAACAAACCTGAACGGTGCCACCAAATGTAAACGGCGCAACATGTAAATTCTGCAGCAGTGTGCCGAGGTTAGCAATGAAATGCATATGACATAAACACATGCAAAGCATTCAAATGATTATGGTTCTTGTGACGATACCACCGAGAATATAGAGAAGTGCATCCGTAATTTTCCCTCATCACATTTAATGCTAGTGGAAGATCGGAGAGGATTTTAGACAGATATGTATAAAATATAACTCAGTACTCACTGCAGTGAGTGACAGAGAGCGCATTTTCTCGTCGACGAAAACGCGGTCACGGACGGACAGACGAACAGACAGACGGACGGACATGACGAGCACAATAGCGCCTTTTTCCAACAATGAGAAAATGCGCTAAAAATAAAGACGCTTTAAAAGAATATACAATTTATACGCCTCGATTTCAACTAACCTCAAGATTTCAATTCGATTTTGTAATACGACAACTAAATGAAAAGTTTTACTTTTGGTTTAACTGAGCATCTAGAGTAAAATATATAATCATTCAACCACGAGTTCCTATCATTGCCGTATGGCTGGGGGAGATGGAGTACAGAGTGAAAGGAAGGGCTGGGAGAAAGGGATGGCTGGGAGAAAGGGATGGCTGGGAGAAAGGGATGGCTGGGAGAAAGGGATGGCTAGGAGAAAGGGCCCTCCCAGCCTTCTCTTTCTCCCGGCAGCATACTAAGCGTGTGTTAAAAATGTCATGGAAGATGATGATATACTTAATGTATATATATAGCACGCGTGCAAACACGTTATGGAAATAGTTAAGGCTAATTCTACGTGACCCTGGCACAGCACATCACGCTTGACATTCAAAGGGAGAAGCCGTTCTAACTGCAAGGTCGCAAGATCGTGCTTTTTACAATATTATATATTGATCCCGGTCCAGTTAAAATCCAGCATGTTGGTGTCTCCATTTACAAGAAGAACTAACAGAAAATGCAGAATATTGTGCCAAGATCAAAATGAATCATACACATTCTATGAACATGACACCAAGTCGAACAGAAACGCAACATGCATTTATTATGCCACATGACACGACACAATCCTGCCTCACCTGTCAGGATAATGCAGTGGTAGATGCATCTGCTGCTGGATGTGATGATGGTGGTGCGGGAGGTGGTGAGGTGGTGTTGGTTGATGATGAAGGTTAACGGGCATGTGGGCCGCGACCCGCGGGTCTTGTTGTGGGTCCAGGAACCTGTAGCTGTGCTGCCGCCCGAACCTCACCACACAACCGTGCTGTGGTCCAGAGGGAAGGTTCTTGTTATTAAATTTCAATCTCAGGTATGAGGTTTAAGTCTTGCATGACTGCATTGGTAGGTAAACTAAACCTACGCTAGGAACGATTGTATTGATGTTAAACAATGCAGCCTGACTAGGATTAAAGAATTACGGACGACTTAAAGCAACGATAACAACTTTTATCTTGGTCTCTTGTTGATTGCAGAGATGATATTCTATATAACACGCTTCGACTGCGCCATGTTGAGACAAAAAAGTTCTGACCTTCAAGGTAATCCACAGAAACTACGGAAGAAATTTGCTTCCCAAACAAGCAGTACCGACGTCCCAATAGGGGTAATGACAGTTTTGCTATCCAAAATATTCAGTCATGACAATCTTGTTATCCGTAAAGCCAATGCAACATCCTTGTACCTTGAGTGTTGTTAATGGGACGTGACGGCCGTACCTTGAGTGTTGTTAATGGGACGTGACGGCCGTACCTTGAGTGTTGTTAATGGCACGTGACGGCCGTACCTTGAGTGTTGTTAATGGCACGTGATGGCCGTACCTTGAGTGTTGTTAATGGCACGTGGCGGCCGTACCTTGAGTATGGTTGTCTCGAAGATGCGCTGTCCGTTGACGGCTATCTCAGCATCACGGTTGCAGGGCGTGACCGTAACCACACCCTCAGTGTGGGCCAGCACACAGTGTCGTGGGTGGATGTCAGGCCCGAACAGCTGCAGCGTCTGCCCACTCGAGTGCCCACTGCGCTCACTGCCCACCTCCGTCACGTTCAGCTGCAGCACGTGGTGGGCGCCTGAGCCCTCCAACTCGTTGCCCTCTGCAGTACAATACAACTTTATTATTATTATTATTATATACTACCCTTAAAATTATAAAGTACCTCTTATCAGAAAGGTTGAGAGATTAAACTCAAAAGATGTTCTCAATAAAACTGGCATTATTTTTAACCAAACATGTTTAAATGAAGGGCTCTTCCCTAAATATACAAATTATAAAGTAATAAATATTTGTGGAAATTCCAACAGTGATGATAGAAGTCATCACACTTATCTATATAAATAAAAAATTCGTTGCCCTGTGCAGTACAATAGAAGTATATATTATTATTATTATATTATTCTACCCTTCCACTTATAATGAAAGTAATAAATAGTTGTAGAAATTATGACGGTGGTGATAAAAGTCATCACAGTTTTCTATATGAAATAAAAAATCCTTGGCCTCTGGCGCACAATATAAGTTTATTACTTTGCGCCTGGAATAGATGTTATAGGAAGTAAATAGTTGCAGAACTAACGACAATGAAGATTGTATTCATCACAATGTTATACTTGGATCAAACTTAAATAACTCATCGCCCTCTGGAGTAAATAGAAGTTAATTACCATAACCCTATCTGATAGTAGGGCACTTGGAGCTAGTTACACATGGGCAAGAAATCATGTCAATGGAAATTGAATTTGAATTAATGTAGATTTAAATAGACCGGACCTGGCCCGAGTTCGACGAGCACAGGGAGAGGGTTATGTGGCCCCCCGTCGGCACCCCCCACGCCGTCAGGGACCGGGCCCCCGGCGCCCTTCAGGGGCTTTTTCTTGCGCTTGCGGGGCCCGTGGTCCGCGGGACGTCGTCGCACGTGGAACATTATGGATCCTGCAAGAAAAGTTAAAAGGTATTACTCCTTTACAGAATAATAATAATTATTAATTATTATTATATATTATTAATAATAATATATAATATTTATTATATACTATTATTATTAATATATTAATAATATTAATATATTATAATTAATAATTTTACTTTAATACAGAATAGTATTAAAAACTAATTTCCAAATTAAAAGCATGGGTAGCTACTGTGTTCGAATTATTTTAAATTAAAAAGCTTATAACGACAATTTGTTCCGCTATGTTACGCACTCGATGAGTTTTTCTTTTTGATATCGTCGTTTTTCTAATAGAGTGATATTGATAGCTTGGATTCCTCTGCCACATCATCTTGATCAATTCTTGCATTGATCGGTTATTTTGAATAAGTTCACACTGAAAGTATATTATTTATTCGGTACTAGGAGCTGATGAACAACTCATGATATACTAAAAATATGCACATCATATATACAATAGTGTAAGTCAACTCTTATTTAAATCGTATTATACACAAAACTGTTTAAACTAAAAGCTTATAAAATAAATGTATTGGAATTATTTTAAAACGTAAGGCTTGAAAAGAAATATAACTCAGTACTCACTGCAGTGAGTGACAGAGAGCGCATTTTATCGTCGACGAAAACGTTAAGTCACGGACAGACGGACATGACGAGCACAATAGGATATTTTTTCCATAAATGAGAAAATGCGCTAAAAAGTGTTTTAAAGATTGTAACTAAAATTTGAGGAGTGAATTGACAATGCAGTTCTTAATACCTAAGCCAACAGGCGAACAGATTAGGATTGAAACATCTAAAATGAACGATTTGTTTCACAAAAATATCAACGACTGGATGTAGTTGCACCGTAAGACGTAGGTACCTACTGCATTTCTCATAACCATGAAAAGTGAAGTAAAATGAATTATAGCGCTGCCTGGTAAATTTCTGGCCATGATTTCCAAATAAAAATTTTATTCTCAAGAGAAACATTTTTACCAACCAACACGTACGTCACTGGCAGTTGATGAGTGAGCTCCGGAGGCTCGAAATAAAGCCAGTACAATAGGGCGGAGCTTTGACAGCCGTTTTTGTTAAATAATTATCAGTCTATATAGCAGCTCTTGATAAGCTTATTCATGAACAAGCCGTGCTGAATAATATAGCAACAGCGCCAGTCTTGCCCTTTCAACAGCAGCTTCAAAGAGGAGGCCAAATTCTAGACACGACGCTTCAATGTCTTCGTTAGTTAGAAGGAGAACATTTACTTTGACTTGAGAACAAGCCAATCTTCAATAGTTATGGATAAAATATTTCGCACATACGCTAAGAATAGTTATTTAAAAAGTGAAAGTTTGAGGAATTTAACTAATCATCGGAGATTATTAAGTTGTTTTAATTGACAGAGTACAAGAGTAGAGGATCAGTGGTCGATCGCGACCAGGGAAAACCTCATAATTTATTAGCGGGCGCTGACATATCGGGAGTCGATGTCAGAGTGAACAGTTAAAAGACACAAGCCACAAACTCAAACATTCCAAAAATATGAAATATTCAGTCTGATTTAAACGAATTATCGCGTGAACTGGAGAGAAACTTAATCAGTTTCTTATGAACATGTAACTCGATAAAAGTTTGAGGAAGTGGAGCATTGTAACCAATACCGAGTAACGCAGCGAAAACAAACGCTTCAAATTTATTGACAAAATCTAAAACCAAAAATTTCAAAAATATATATAGCTTTGAAAAACTCGTATACAAAATCATATGAACAACGCATTCTAAAAAATATATACATATATTGAAGTTGAAAATCAGTTGGGCCCCCAAGGTTACTCTCAGTCTGAAGCAATTTGCAAGTATTTTATAAACAATAAAAACCTGAAGAAAATTCGGAAAAAGCATATGCAACGGCAATGAAAACCACTAATAGTACTATTTCCTACGCTAACTGTTCTCATGAAGCATCCCTCAAATGCGGCAAAATCTACGGAAAATGAAAAGGATATTTAATTATCTTTCAGCTTCAACCTGAAGGAAATTCACTGTTAGAACATTCTAATGGCTTAATAATGCTTTCAAAAATATAATATAAAACCGCGCAGAAGCAAAATATAATAGAAATAAAGCACACATCGAAAGTGCTTGAATTAATACAGAAGTGGCGCAAAAGCCAAACATGTTAGACATACAGTTAACGGTTATCATGGAGTGTAAGCAGATACGAAATGAACGTGTTCATAGGATCAACGTTGTTTATCAAATCAAAAAGATAATGACTAACGGCATACTGTAGATAGCAATAATGTTAACAATAAAAATTTGCATCATAATTAGAATGCCGAACTATTCAACCGACCACAGTTCCCTTATGAAACAACATTAACGTATACTCATCAACTCAGCCAAATAGTCTATAATTTTGTCTTTTTCGTGCACTAAACATAGTTTGAACTTCCTTAACAAGTAGGTACGTCGATCCACTCCCCCTTGAGAAACGTACAAAATAGTTTGAAACAACGTTGTGCTGGTACATTACTAAACAGTGTGCACAATTTGCGTAGGAAAAAATTACACTCATCGTCAATTATTGAGTTAGCAATATATGATTAACAATACATGCAGGAATAATGTTCATCTCGAGGTATGACTAGTCTATAAATAAGACATTACAATGTAAACAGTTCTATGGAATTTCCAGAAGCTCTAGGAGTTTCTGTCAATGTCATGTCAAACCAACACCGCAGGGTTAATCTGACCATGAAACTAAAAATCCTTGCTAAAATGATGGCGCTACCAACAAACCGAAGTTACTTGATGATGTTGCTTGATGCGTTATCATCGACCGACAGTTAGGATTCCTACCTTAGCTATAATTGGACATCGGTCGTCACTGGAAGCTCGTTAATGAGGTCTAATATGACCTAATAACACCGTTCAGGAAGCGTATTAAAGCTTAAATACCTAAACACTTTATTCAATCCTTCAAAGACAAGCTTCACGTCACATTGGGGAAGTAAATTTTTTAGAGCCAATGAGTCTGAAGTTAAGGTTTAGCTCATTCATCTCGCATATTGCATGATACCGACACTGATGTGAAATCTGAGCACGTATATGTTACAGTGACAGAGATAGCCGTAGAGAGTCAGAGCTGGAGTTCGGGAACGTCTCAGCTGCTGTACAAGGTATCAGAGAAGTAATAAAGTGTCTGAACTGCTGTAAGAGTATTAGAGCTGCTGTAAAAATGACAACGCCAATTATAAATACAGGTATGTGCGTAGCTGCAACTATTGTTGTCTGTCAATTTAGTGACCCCAGCTCTTGTTATTATCATAGTAAATATTCATGTATTGGTTAATTAAATAACCCTCATATCTTGTTCTAGCCCCCAATTAAACGATCTAGCACCTTGAGTCAACCGAATGACGCGCGCTTCAATCAACTTCAATCCTGCCTCAATCGTTTCATCAAAAACTTATCACCAGTGCACTTATTTTCCGGTCACTATTGCTCGATTTTTGAGCCGCTGAGCCGGTTTTGGTGGTAAGCAATGGTTTCGAATACTTATTTGGACTTATATTTTTGCGCATATTTTCATCAATCAGTTTCATCAATCAAATCATTTTTCAATCAACGTCAAGCATCAATTCAAGCGTCAAATGGGTTCCTACACAATCAATCACGCTTGAGTCATTCGATCGACTCAAGCTTTTGATCAAGCCACTTGATCGTTTTGAGCTCCCTTATCTTTTCGTCGATTAGTCGAACGCTTGCCCTTCGTCATCCATAAAAATAACTTTCCGAAGAGATGAAAACACCAATATTTTTCTGATAAAGGTTACACTTACCGTCTTAGGTTACATTATTTGCACGAAACTTCACAACCAAAACACGCCGAAATCAAGCCCCAAAAAGTATTTCGACTCAAACGTGAAGAAACAGAAGCTAAAAAAATTCAAAGTTACTGAAAGCAACTTTAAGCAGAAGCTTGATTACAAGGAGCCAGGGAAGGCTGGAGGGCGAGGGGAGACTGCCACGCAAGTGCCAATTAGGAGACGCTATAAGGTCGAATAAAAGTGGAGAGTCGCTGAAGCAAAAATGTATCAAAAACATTACGTTGCTTCTATATTTTGGCATGTTTCAATCCCTTACTCATTTTTTATTCCTTTTATTTTTTAAATTTTTTATTTTAATCATTTTCATCTTTTTTTAATTTTAATATCCTTTATATTGATTAACGTTTAGTTGCTATCCGCAACAAAAACTAAACCGCAGATATATAACTGATGCGTCTGATAAGTGAACAACTGAACATTCCCTGGAGAGGGAAACGCTCGCATTGCATCAAAGAAATACTCCTATGAATAACCTGATACACCTTAGAGTATGAACGGATACATTCAGTGGTACATTCACGCATTCACTTGTAGAAATGGATCGACGTGCGCTGGTATGAAAGTCCGCACTTATAGGTACTGGACAAAAAAAAAAAAGAACACTGACGTTTCAGAACAATATGCTCACTGGTATGAGATCACTCACTGATATGAGATGACTGCACTCACTGATACGAGATGACTGCACTCACTGATATGAGATGACTGCACTCACTGATATGAGATGACTGCACTCACTGATACGAGATGACTGCACTCACTGGTATGAGATGTGTAGCCAAAAGCCCGCATGCCAATCATGACGCAGTCGCAGTGAGGGCTGGCACACGCTAGTTATATTATTCTTCGGCCATTAGAGTCAGCGATTGTCTGGAGTTTCGTGCGACCCTGAAGCAGCGTCACGGCTGCAGGTACTCTTGTTCAGACCTATGGTGATGCAACAGCAGTGTCCTCTAGGACATCAATAATTGAGGGAAAAATTTTCTAGACACTTCATTTCAATTCAGATCACTTTCTTTTCACCAAATTTAATGATATTTTAATCGCCTATATGAACGTCTTTTCCTTCGATTTCACTTTTCCAGTTTCCATTTTGATTCCAC